AAGGAGAGAACTGTTTTACTGACTATGTGGATCACAATGATAAGTATGGGAATCCCAGAACACTTAACTGTGCTCATAAAAAATATGTACCTAGACCAAGATTTAGAAATAGGGAACACTGTATGGTTTAAAATCATGAAGGGTATACATTAGGGATGTATCCTTTCTCCCTATCTATTCAATCTGTATGTTGAACCAATAATTCATGAGGTAGGACTCTACAAAGAAGAATGTCACATCTCGATTGAACGAAGACTCATCAACTTGCGTTACACACAGATAACGAACTGAAGGAATTGACAGCATATCAATGATGCATTTCAAAGAACAGATACTGCCCTGGACACACACCCCAGTAGTTGTGCCAAGAAATCTGGGGGGACAACCACCTCACCAATTGACTGGAAGATATCCATATTTGTTCTCATTCCAAAGAAAAGGTGACCTAACAAAGTGTGGAAATTAACAAACCATACAACAATCTGCATTATGCAGATGACACACCCTGCTTGCTGAAACTGAAGAGGACCTGAAGCACTTTCTGCAAAAGGTCTAGGACTGCATTCTTCAATATGGATTGAGTCTCAATATCAAGAAGACAAAGATTCTCACCACTGGGCCAATTTGCAGGATCAGAAATGGATGGTGAAGACACTGAGATTAACAGCTTTAGTTTGCTTGGCTCCACAGTCAACACTCTTAGCACCAGCAGCCAGGAAATTAAAAAGGACGAACTGCGATGGGAAAGCCTGCTGTTAGGGACCTCTCCAGAGAACTTAAGGGCAATGGTGTCACTTTGGAGACTAAGGTGCACTTGATACAGGTCATGGTTTTTGTGATCACGTGTTATACATCAGAGAGCTGGACAATGACTAGGGCTGACAAAGAGAATTGATGCCTTTGAGCTGTGATGCTGGAGAAGAGTATTGAATACACCATGGACTAAGAAAACGACCAGGTTCAGCCTGGAGAAGGTTTAACCAGCCTGCCCCTTGGAGGCAAGGATTCTGAAGCTTCATCTGACATACTTTGAACATGTTGCAAGGCGGGACCAGTCCTTAGAGAGGTGGAGGAACAGTGCAGGAGCAGACGACCCTCAATGAGGTGGGTTGATTCAGTGACTGGAGTGGTGGGGCTAGGTGTACTGGAGACTGAGACTGGCACAGGATAGGACAGAGTTTAGGGCTGCTGTATATAGGGTCGCTATGAGTCGCAGGCAATTCGATGGCACCTAACAACAACAACAACATCATTCTGCTGAAGATTATCCAAAAACAGCCAAAACAGCCCATCAACAAAGAACTGTCAGATATGCAGGATGGATTTAGAAAAGGCCAGATACTAGGGATGTTATAGCTAATGTTAAATGGATTTTGGCTGAAAACGGACAGCATCAAGGGAATGCCTATCTGTGTTTCAATGACTACACAAATGCATTTGACTATCACAATAAACTGTGGTTAAATCTCAGAAGAATGGGAATCCCAGAACACTTGATTGCGCTTCTGTTATGTTATTCTGATCTTTAGCAAATGTTTCAACCCCTCACTTTCAGTAAGCAAGGTTGTGTCATCTACATAGGACAATTTGTTGACGAGTCTTCTTCCAATCCTGATGTCACATTCTTCACATAGTCTAGTTTCTCAAATGATTTGTTCAGCATCAGATTTAATATGTATGGAGAAAGGCTACAGCCGTGATGCACATCTTTCCTGATGTCAAACATCACAGTATTCCCTTATTCTGTTTGGAGAACAGCTTGGACCAGGAGGCAATAGTCAGAAAAAAGGAAACACTGCCTGGTTCAGCATTGGGAAGGGTATATGCTAGGGATGTGTCCAATTCTCCGTATCTTTTCAATCTATATTTAGAACAGATGATCTGGGAAGCTAAGCTCTAAGAGGAGTAATGTGGCATGAGGATTGGAGGATGACTCAACAACGTGCATTATGCACAAGACACAACTTTGCTTGAGGAAACTTTTTGTTGGTATAGAAGAATTTAGCTGATTTTTGTATTTTGATGTTATACCCTTGCCACTGTGCTGATTTTTCCCGATTCGTTCCAATACTTTACTTGCTGAGTTTCTGGGATTGTCTACATGTAGGATTAATTTTACTTCAACAATTTGGGTATTTCCCTTTCTTGCCTTGGAGAGTTCCAATCCAATGTTGAAAAGGAGTTGTCATACAGAGTATTCTTATCTGATTCCCATTTTGGTTTCAGTCTCTCACAGTGGAAGATAATGTCAGTTACTGGTTTTGTGCAGGGAGTTCTGGTGGTAAGCTGGTAAGGAGTTGCACTGCCAGCTGAAAGACAAATGGGTCAAATCCACTAAAGTTGGGTAATCTCCTAGAATAGTTACACAGCCTCTGAAAACCTACCAGAAGGATGTCTAGAAGTCGGTTCCAACTCGACAACAAACAGTAACACTGGTTTGTGTGTATATCTTTAATTATGTTCCACAATTTCCCTACATTCCTGTTTGTAAACAGTTGAACCATCCGTATACCATGAGTTCCACTTGGCCATAAGGTAGTATTTTTTATACAGTGTGGAATTATTACAATTTTGCTGAGGATTTTTAAATCTCTGTTCATGACAGATACTGCTCTATAAATTTTACACTTTAGTATTATCTGGTTTTTGTTATTAGTATTGTACTTGCTTCAAAACTGTTATTTTGACAGTTATTCTATTCTTTTCTATATTCTGGAATAGCCTAAGTATAATCAGTACCAACTCTCCTCTGAATGTTGGTATAACTGCCCAGTGAAGGTATATGAGCCAAAATTTTTGGTTCTTGGGAGTTTCTTAACTGTATATTCAATTTTATCTTTGTCATGGTTCAGCAATATTTTCTACCTATCGTTGTTAGTTTATGTAGATCATGTGTTTCCAGAACAGAAATTTGTCTAATTCTTCTAGGTTACCAATTGTTTCCATTACAGTACCTCATACTGTTCTGTTAATATCCTTTTTATCATGGTTAGTTCTGTTGTGATATCCCAAAATAATTTATGTGTACAATTGTTTATGTAATATTTTGTTAACTTCTTCCTTTCAGTTTGTCAATGTTTTATAAGAACCAACTTCTACTAGTTTTTACTGTTTACCTGTGTCATTTATTTCAGTTTTTCTTTGCTTCTAAAGACTGTAGGCTTTTTGACTGCTCTTTTACTAATGGCTGCAATTTAGAGGTTATGGTGGTAATTGTGACTTTTTTTTAATGTGCTTACTGCTAAAAATTAACATCTGAGAAGTGCTTTTGCCCATTCTCCAAGATTTTGGTTATGCTGTATCTTCCTTTTTATTTAATTCTAGGAAATTTTAGTTTGGGGTTTTGGTTGATTTTTTTGTTTGTTTTTATTTTTTTAAATTATCCAGTACGGATAGAAAATTGCTAACTAGATAGTACTCACTGCCATAGAGTCAGTTCAGACTCATGTTTCCAAGGCTGTAAATCGCATAGGGAGAACAGTGCAGATCATTTTCCAATGGATCCACTGGTGGATTCGAACTGCAGGAGCCACATAGCCTTTGGATTAGCGGCACAACTTGATCCAGACTACATGTATTAATTTAATTTGGGTGCAGGGAAAGGCAATACACAACAAAGGGAAGGTCCATACAACATGACCAAGGCAAAGGAAGACACTGTTAAGTACGTAACCATAAAAGGGAACAATGGTGGATATCATTATTATATACATAATTCTGTAATAACAAATAACAATTTACAATTGGAAAACATAGGTAGTAGGTAAGTAGGTTTAGCAAGCATGGAACATTATATATCCACAGCATATGTATATATTGGTAGAGGATACTTCCATGTATTTAATTTTATGTACACAGGACTATCACAAAACGTAAAGGAGGTGGCATTATGAAATTTTTTTTTAACCATAAGCAAAACACCTAGAGGGATTAAATTGCTGAGCTTTAGTCTTGGGGGATGTCTAAATCAATTAGTACAACATAATTCATAAAGACAATATTCTATATCCAACGACGGTGAGTAGCAGCTGGGGTCTTACAATTTTGTAAGTGGACAGAGCCTTGTTTGGAGCGAAAAAGATTTAAGAACAGTGAAGAAAATATGATTCAAGGAAACAATGAGCTCAAAGGACTATTGGACTACATGAGCCACAGCCCAAGACCAGAAAAACTAGATGGTACCGGGCTACCATTACTGTCCACTCTTCAAACCTGGAATCTAACCAACCCCCAGATAAACAAAACACCTATAAAGTGAACAGTAACACCCATGAAGAACATGCTCCTTAGAATAATCAGTCATAAGTTCAGAGAACAAGAAGGGCTGCAAAAGAACAAATGGAAATAAGCCTAGAGAGGAAAGAGAAGAGTACTATCTAGTCACACTGAAGGGACAGCAGCCCATAAGTCACAAAACAAAATGTGTACAAACTGTTGAAGAGAAAACTCATTTTGTCTGCAAACTTTCACCCAAACCACAAAAAGACCAGGAAAAATCAAATGATATATAGTACCTACAAATAGTTAACCACTGTTAAGAACTATCTTGGGGTGGGGTGGAGGGATGCAGGGGGATTGTAAAACAATGAAAAACTTTTCTTTTAATTTTCAAAGAGAAGAGCGAACTGGGGGTGGGGGTGGGGGGGCAGTGAGAAAAGTGCAACAATGAATGAATGGAAATCCAAAATCTCTATAAATGTTCATTGAAATAAAAAAAAATAAAATTGAAGACATAAGAAACTAAACTACAAGTAGGCAAAGAGTAAATTCTCATTAAGTAACCTAATGACAAACTCCAAAAGAGTATAAAAAAAAAATTAGACAAACATAGGTAATATTCCAAAATTCCACTGAATACATCCTCCTCTATAAAATTAGGATAATGATGTTTATATTATACAAATTATTATACAGTTTAAAGAAGATTAATGTACTTTTTAAAAAAATAAATGCATATGTAGTGATAAATATTATCATCCGAATTATTATTCTCTTCTCACCTGAGTAGTGGCCAGCCCATTGCTAATACTGAATCCATTAATTGTTATCTGAATCTGTCCTCTGTTAATCATTTCAATAACTGCTTCTGCGATAGTATTCATAGGAATAACAGGCATATTAAGAGCTGTATTACTGCTGTCTGCATTATCTCCTCCATCAGGACACTTCATCTTGGGAACAAGAAGAAGGAAAAAAACAAGATAAAATGCATCATCATCATTAAGCCAAAGTTAACAAATACAGTTGATGCTACTTTAATGACAATAAAGTAATTTTCTAACCTTGACAATTTTCACATCTGGCAAACTATCAAGAAATGCTTTGAGGTCGATCCCATTCAGAACAATCCGATTGTCATAAATGTGTCCATTGGACTTAAAATCAATAACTGCTTTTTTCTGATGGAAAAAAGTTTCAGATGTCTTTTAGCATGTGTATGGACAACAACAAAGATATAAATTACTAAGGTTCTTTAAAACTTACAGCTCTATTTTGTACCTACCTTTAGGTGAGGGAACATATTAGCATGATCACCAATAAAGAAAGTATGGGGCATATAAGCCAGTTTCTCCGAATACTGTTCAGCAACTTCAGCTGGTGAAGTTTCTTGGTCAGTGATAATATAATCCATAAAAAGTGCACCACTAGTCCCAGGGTATCCCAGCCACATTGCCTAAAATCAGATAAAATTAATAACCTTCATGAAAAGGTCCCAGCAATCAACAAACAGAGATGACTTCTCTAGCCAGGAATAATTCAGTAGTATTTTAGACAAACCTAAACCCAAAAAAGGTTTCTTCAATTTGCAAGGCAAAATAATTATTTACATCCAAACATGGAATTACATGTTTCCATATACAATGAGGTGCCCTGCTGTAATACTGCATAAAGTTTTTGGGTTGCTAACCAAAAGGTTGGTAGTGTGAATCCACTATCTAATACTAGAAAAAATATTGGTAAACTCCTCCCATAAAGAGGTACAGTCTCAGAAACCCAATGGGGATTTGCTATGAGTCAGAATCACTAAAAAGAATTAATAGATTTACATACATACTTTCAAAAGTTTTTGTCCCTCCGCATTTAAAGGGCTACTCTTGAGATGTGAACCAGAAAAAAAAAAAAAGGCTATTCTATAATTAATTTAACCATGTCTACCCTACTGTTTAAAATGACAGGCGTTTTCATTGTCATTAGTTTCAAGAAAC